CCACACACACACACACACACACTGGTGACAGACCTGTGATGGTGTCTGTCAAACATCTATCGTCCTGATCTCTCCTCTTTTTTTTGGGTATTTGTTACTCTCTTGTAACACCTTTAATCTTCGGTACTTATATAACCTTATTGTGTTGCAAGTGCTGTAAAACACTTACTAAAAAACAACAACCTTACTTAAACTAAAACTAAAACGATCCCCAGGAGTACGATGTCTCTGTCGGGACTGACTGTTGAGGGCAGGAAGAGCAGCCTGATGACCAGCTGTGCAAACGACACGCAGTACTGTCCCGTCACGCAGTGAGTTGGACGCATTCTTATTCATTCGTTCGTTCATTGGTTCGTTCGTGTGTTTATTTGTTCATTCTTTTATTTATTCATTCATTTGTTTGTTTGTTTGTTCATTCATTCGTTCGTTTCTTTATTCGTTCATTCATTCGTCCGTTTGTTTTTTCGTTCATTCATTCATTCATTTGTTTGTTCGTTCATTTATTCATTCGTTCATTCATTCATTCATTTGTTCCTTCATTCGTTCGCTCATTCATTCATTCGTTCATTCATTTGTTCTTTCATTTGTTCGTTCCTTCATTCATTCAATCATTTACTTATTTTGAAGTGGAGGTAAATTTTACAATGGTAATTACATACGGAGGAAATCATCCAAAACGGCCACCTTTTGTCGAGGAAGAAAAGTGGTTGTCTTAGATAAGTGGATGTCTTGGGCAGGTGGTTGGTGAGTGCTCTGATGTGGTTTGCTCCTTCTTTCCTATCCAACATGTATTTATCTCTCCTCCTTCTTTTTGTGTTTGTTAATCCTTTGTAACACCTGTTGTCTTCGGCACTTATATGATCTAATTGTATTGCAGGTGCTGTAAAACTCTTATTATAACTAAAAAAGAATACTGTCGAAATTGTCCAATTGTGTTGCAAGTACCGTAAAACGCTTATTTTAACAACCAAACCCCCCCCCCTCCCCCAGAGGTGGATGGTTGGTGGGTGCTCTAGTGTGGTTTTTCTCTTTCTTTCCTATCGAATGTCATGCTTATCTCTCCTTTTTTGTGTTTGTTACTTTCTTGTAACACCTCTAATCTTTGTCACTTATAAGTTGTATGCCCTATTAAAAATTTGTGTTGCAAGTGCCAAAAAACTTTCACCAAAACTAAAACATCTATCGTCCTGATCTCTCCTAGTTTTTTTTCCAATTTTTTAAGTGTTTGTTGCTCTCTTGTAACACCTCCAATCTCCGGCACTTATGTAACCTACCTGTGTTGCAAATGCCATAAAACTTTTCACTATACGTCTCATCACACCCAACCTGTGGGTGGTTGGCGGGTGCTCTGGTGTGGTTTGCTCCTTCCTTTCTATCAAATGACTATCATTTTTATCTCTCCTCCTCCTTTTTTATGTTTGTTACTTTCTCGTAACACATAATCTATTCTTCGGCACTTATTTGACCTTATTGTGTTGCAAGTGCCGTAAAACTCTTACTAAAACTAAGAAACACCTCTGATCTCCGGCACTTATATAACTTAATTGTGTCACAAATGCCGTAAAAAAGTTTTCATGAAACATCTCATCCCACCCAACCCCCTCAGGTTCCTGGGCAACCTGCTGAAGCTGCTCATCTTCCAGAACGAGCGGTTCGGCGCCCAGATCCAGAAGCACGTCAAAGAACTGGTGGGCCACGAACTGAACCCTGCGCTGTACCCGATCCTGTTTGACCAGATCAAGGTGTGCGTGGACAAGTACTTCGACGCGGCCGGCCAGGTCATGGACTCGCCGCAGAACACGCTGCTCATCGAGAACGTGATTTTCATCATGAAGAACATTCTGGAGATGAAGCAGGACCAGCCGTGCGAGTTCCTCGGGGTCACCAGTATAGAGCAGCTCATGTTGTCTATTGTCAAGTGAGTAGATTTAGAAACAATATAGAGCAGTTCATGTTGTCTATTGTCAAGTAAGTAAATTTTTAACCCTATCCGTACGCCTTGGGGTAATTTTGTAACCCTGGGATTGTATCCTTCTCATTTTAGAAGTATTCTAGTACGAAGATCTCTTTGAAATTTTCAGTATTTCTGAAAAATAATTTTGACAGGCTGCTATGCAATGCGTACGGATCGGATTAACGAGTAAATTTCCCCACGACCTATGGATACGATAGTAAAACATAACATACGGATAGGGTTAAACAAAAGTGGCGGGGTTCCTGGGGGTCACCAGTATAGAGCAGCTCATGTTGTCTATTCTCAAGTAAGTAGATTTAGAAACAAAAGTGTGGGTGGTTGGCGAGTGGTCTGGTGTGGTTTGCTTCTTCTATCCTATCAAGCATCTATCATCCTTATCTCTCCTCCTTTTTTGTGTTTGTTACTCTCTTGTAACACCTCTAATCTTCGACACATATATGACCTTATTGTGTTGCAAGTGCCGTAAAACATTCACTAAAACGAACATTCTGTTTTCTTCCACAGATATGTAAGATATCTGGACTCCTCAGTCCACGCCATACAGATCAAGACCAAACTTTGTCAGCTGGTGGAGGCTGTGAGTATCTGAGTATCTGTGCTGTCTGAGTATCATAGAATATATCTGAGTATCTGTGCTGTCTGAGTATCATAGAATATATCTGAGTATCTGTGCTGTCTGAGTATCATAGAATGAATATGTGAAAAGGTGTGTTTGTACTGGCTATCTATTGTTCAGATACAGGGGAGTATGCTTAAGCTTAACATGGTTAATCTGAAATGGTCGCTGAACCGAAGGAGTAGAAGATCCTAGTTTTTTTTTCTTCCATTCGAGCAACGTGTTTTAAATAAAAACTAGATAATATATCGTTTTAATTAATCCAAAAACAGAAATGACTTGAGTTGGCTTTTGAATACAACAATCTTGCTTTGCCATTCCATTCCCTATGACCTCCAAAACAACAGTCCCGTATTTCCATTCCTTTCCATTCCCATTCCTACAATACCCAACACATCAGTCCCATATTTCCTTTCCTTTCCTTTCCCGTTCCAACAACACCCAACACATCAGTCCCATATTTCCTTTCCATACCATTCCCATTCCTACAACACATCAGTCCCATATTTCAATTCCATTTCATTCCATACCACACCCAACACATGTATCAGTCTCACTTTGCCATTCCTTTCTTGTGGGTGGTTGGCGGGTGTTCTGGTGTGGTTTGTTTCTTCTTTCTTATCAAAAGTTTATTCGTCCTTATCTCTCCTCCTTCTTTTTTGTGTATGTCACTCTCTTGTAACACCTCTAATCTCCGGCACTTATAATATGACCTATTGTGTTGCAAGTGCTGTAAAACACTTACTAAAACTTTTTAAAATCTTACCAAACGGAACCCCCCCCCCCCTGAAAATTTCGTATACCGAAGGAAATGATCCCGCCTATCTGAGACTGAGACTGTTGTGTATCTGTACAGATGATGCAGCGACGTGACGAGCTCACGTTCCGACAAGAGATGAAGTTCAGAAACAAGCTGGTGGAGTACCTCACTGACTGGATCATGGGCAACTCACACCAAGTGAATGTACAGGGAGACATCTGTAGCATGTCCAGGTAACTAGGGCTGGGTAGGGGAAGGGGGAGGTGAGGGGGGTGTGGAGGGATGGGGCGGAGAG